CTACCCACCTTTCACAATAAACCTTATAAATAACATAAATCTTAACTATGTAATACTATCGGTACTAAAATCCCTCGGCGGATGACTTCTTTCATGAGCCTAAACCTATAAAAAACTAAGTTCCCTCGTCGGTTGTCTTCGTCCTTCAGCTTAGAACTAATATTATCTTAATATTCTACTTAATACGAATTAATGCTATTAATACAAAATAACTTAAACTAAACGCAACGTAGTCGCTAATACTCAAACGAAAGAGATAGACGGAATGGAAAAAGTTCCATCGATCATTTCGTTTACGCACCTAATATTCTATATACCAAGCAGTTATTAAGTCTACGATGAACCACGTTAAACTACAGTATGAACAATTATCGCGATACAAGTGTTGTCGCCAGAACCTGGTTTAAGAAAATAGGAAAGACGGGCGACACCTCGCTAACCCGGATCCATCTTTTACTGCCATGGAGCTTTGGGCTGGTCACCTGCGTACCAGATCTGAACCAAAGGAGTACACAAGCATGGTAGTACAAGCGAGATTCTCTGTTTACGGAGCAGCCTCCCGACTACTCCGTACCCTTGCGCGTACGAGTCTTTCTCCAAATCCTACTTACCAGGCAAAAACTAACCACGTCCGATATCTGGCTTCTCAATAGAAACCAGAGGGATCGGCAAACAGTCTTAGTGTACAGACCCACTGCCCGTACCCCAAGTCTGTGTAGAGAATCAACGAGCAAAATGAATTAATAATATATGGTATGCACAATGGATGGTCACGATTTAAGTCTATTAATAGATAGACTAAAATTAATAATAAACGATGCAATGATGAATATGAATATAACAATGAATATCGAATTATGATTTAAGTTTAACTTACAGTAACTTAACGCAGTGGTAGACGCACGCTTTGAAGATGTAGACGTTGATCGATGTCTTCTTTCGATAGAATAACTGATTGGAAAAATATTTTTCATTATACAATACACATAAAATACATAATATGCATAGTAAATAAATCACAGTAAATGAATCACAGTACATAAGAAGATAAATATCGAAGCCAATGGTTCTCGAACATCTGTAACATACAAGGGAGTAGTAACAAAAGAGAGGACACAACAATATGCACAGTAAATAAATTGATGGTTGTCGAATGCCTGCAACAAACAATGGGTTAGTAACAAGAGAAAGGACGAGTATGAGACTCTGCGACGGCTCACGAGAAAGTGAGGAAGCTAACGCCGTTATGTATTGGGCGTACGCAGGTTTGTTCGTGTTGAATTGTTCTTGCCGACTTGAACGACCTTCCTCCTTGAACGACCCAAACACCGGATGGTACCGCCTGGTACGGCGTACACGGCTAGGTCAATAAACTGTGTGACGCACGTCACTAGCACGTTGGACCGACCGAGAGCACCGATACCGCGGCACTCTCTACCGTACTCTCTCGCTCGCACACCTCCCCCCATAGACCACCGAAATTCTTTGGCACGCATCAACACCGAAGGAGAGCACCGATACCGCGGCTCGCTCTATCGCTCTCGCTCGCACGCCGTAACGTCAGCCGATTCCCGGAATCCTGCGGTTACGAGATGGCTCATTACGGTAAGGCATTCCCGCAAGGGAAATTGTAAGCCGCCGGCCAAAAGGTAGATTTAATAAATTATTTATGAAACTACATCTATTCTGAATTTATCTGTTACAAATATACAAATGATATAAAAACGAATAAAACACGAACATGTAAAAAGTAACATTAGTAAAATGTCCATTAACGATGCATTTAGAATAAATTGTCTTGTAGTTAAGTGAAAAAATATATACTTTTCCGTTTCATGTTTCATGACTGTCATATTTATCCCTTAACCTTAAACTGAAGCATCGGATATTTTTATTCTCGTGAAATCATATAGTTACACGTAATATGAATGGAATATATAACCCTTCATTTGTGCTAATAATACTCAGAATTCATGCTTTATCGGTAACGTCGGGTATTGACACTAAAATGGTAACAGGGCTACGTAGACCTATGAACGTGGGACAGAAAAAAGCATTGGATGATAGGTCTATTCTATACCTAGTCGGTAATATAACAGTTTGAAGTTTCGACTTGTAGGTACTTACTTCAAGCGCTCAGAAATTACGTTATTGAATTATACGCGCTTGAGTCCTTTGCTTATTCGTGAAGAAATAAAATGTTCTTTAAATTAAATGTTTAAAATGTCCACCACGGGCTTGTAAACATTTATTTACTCGAAACATCAAAGTTGTTCTAACATTTGTTAACATTTCGGGAGTCACTGAAGCGTAAGCGTCACGTAATCTTTGTTTCATATTCTCTTTTGTCGTCGGCGGTTGAAACATAACTTTGTCCTTTACATATCCCCATTAAAAAAATCTAATGGTGTTAGATCGGGGGATCGAGGGGGCCATTGATGAGCTCACACGGACAGGCTAGAATATGCTTGTGTAGAAATCCCACGATTCTGGCATCACTGTACTAGACTAGAGCCGGGACGTCGTGGTTAGAGATAGCGTGCAAAATCACTAACGGTGATTTATCACAGTGATCGCCGAATCACGGTCACGGTCGTGATTTAACTTCATTCACGACCGTGATTGCGATTTTTTTATCTTGAGTGAATTTGCTCACTGCGATCGTAAGTCCTTGATTTTTAAACAGAAAAACGTATTCAATATGATTTTACTATGAATTACATTACTATTCGTGTTTGTAAAAATCAGTAGAAAAAACATGAAATTCTAAAAGAATGATTTGCTACGTAACATGTAGATTATAATTTATAATTATTAATTTATTCATTATTCTTCATTGTTTCTAATTATTCCTTCACTTTATACGATATAACTCGAATTTTTGTTTTGATGTGGTTAATATAAAATATACAGATTATATGTCGTGTCTAAAGAACTGTTAGGTTCCTCCACCAATCAGAAACGATCACGAGAAATCACGAATCACTGTGAAAAATCACCGTGATTGGGAACGAACGTGATCGAATCACGAGTGATTCACAAGTAGCAGTTCACGTCATCTCTAGTCGTGGTGGTGGAACTAAGTTCCACGATTCTAGCATCACTGCGTTGTTCGTGGGTGTACCAATTTTTGGAACCTTTTAACATCCGTTTTTCATCAATGTAACCGAAATTAATTTAATTGTTTTTAATCAGAATTATTATTGTTAATAAATTGACACTTTATAACCTATTTATACGAAAAACGTTTTATATGTTAGAAACATGATAGATATTTTCATTCCAGATATACATTTACAACATTTACGCATGTAAGACACGTGTCACGTATAAAATAAAAAATTCGCGTATTTAGTCCGAAAGCTATCTACTTCTTTCTAAACTTGGGAGGCCTGTCCAGCCTTGAAACTTTTAGGGAGATGCACAGTCTATATTGTGTGATTGAGTCTATGTATATTTCTATGCCTCTGAGTGTAAATTATGTATTCAATAGTCTTTTAATACTAAATAATTAATAACATGTTGAAATATTTTTTGTGTGTAAGATAAAAGGTCACAGTTAATTGAATAAATGCATACGTCTTCAAAAACTGTTAACAATGCCAGAACGAATTGAAATTGGTAAATAAAACAATGTCGTGATTGAATTATTAATTTTTGTATTGCCAAGATATATTTTGTATGATTGTACATTTAGGTGTTATCCCTGATAATTTAAGGCATGAGGAAACTATTGTGCAAATAGCAGAAGCCCTGGATGACCTAAATTTTTCTGTTTCATACATATTTGACTGCATTGACAAGAGACTCCATGAAAATAGTGAAAGGTAGTTTTCTTTTTTCTCTATTATCACATGTTGTTCTACTATAATTTTTTAGTTGGCCTTACATAATCAATGATATTGATTAGAGGCCTGCAGATTTTTATGGACTCAGGTATGAAAACAACTATTGAACAGGAACATTTCTTTAGTCTATTTAAGGTTCCGTAAAATTTTAAATAAAGTTGAAACCTCATGGTATACTGAGTTTTAAATAATTGCATACTTTAGAAATGTATAAAATCTGTAGTCTTTTAATCAATAATATTAATTCAGTGTGATTGAAAATATTTATCATTATATATGTGACCATAATGTGATCTTGCATTATAATTTACTTTTAATATTTTGCTATAATACCTAATTGTTTCTTGTTCAGTGAGAAATCTGAACATATATGCACACTATAACATAAAAGTGAAACCACTGATTTTACTTCATCTGGTTTGTAATGTACAATGTTTTATAATGTTTTTATATGTGATTACATATACTGTGATTACTGTGAATATCCCTATTACTTGGTAATAATCATGTTTAAGGAGACTTAAAATCTAGATCAGTGCTAGAATTTAATGCCAATCTATCATTATTTTTCACATTTGGTCACTATCATTATCAGTATTTATTAGTTAGTGTTAGACAGTTTTATTGTCGACTTTTCTTTTAACACTAAACTTTGTTCTACAGGCTGTCAACTATTAGAAATAGAGCTACTAAGGTTCAAGATCAGTTACAATACTTACAAACTAATTTAAATTTAAAAGCGGTGAAAATGTACTCTGCTGCAAAGTATCCTGCTTGTCATACATACAAAGAGTACAAAATGGCAATACCACCTAATTATAAAGATACTCACGAAATACCCAAAACTTATAAATGTTCTGTACCCATAAAAGAAGTGCCTGAAACGTATTTGCCTTCCAACTGTAAAACAGAGGATGCTCAGCATGGGGCAAACAATAATTTGCAAGAGAAGTTGCAATTTTATCATGTGCGGTCTAAGACAAGTAAAGAAGTTTATACAGATAGTAACGAACTAACATTCCCTCTTCACTTATATTCGATCAGCGCTCTCTTGTTCGATAGTATGGATAATCCTTATAAGATATTAACTAAACAAACTGGCCATCGAGCGAATGAGTCCCAACAGATTGAAGATGCACCAGATTCGATTATACAACCTTGGCTGACATCAGAAATGGATTGGTCTAGTAGTTATCTCTATACTCCAACTTTAGGCGAGGTGATAAATCGAGAAATGCTCAAATACTATGTACCTAAATTTAATGGAAACACTAATAAATAAACTTATTTTCTTTGTAGGTGCCACAGATAAATGTACCGCCAACTCTTCCAGATTTACCTGGAATTGTTGACGATGAAAAATTCGTGTTAGACCTTAATTCTCAAAGTCCTATTGCACCATCTTCGGCTGTAACAACACCAACTGTTCGACTCGATCTTCCGACTCCAACATCAACTGCAGACGAGAAAGACTTAAATAGAAAGCTGAAACAGAATATGCTTAATCTACCAGGCTTTATCGATACTGACTCTTCAAAACATTCTACTCAAGATGCGACGATACTTGTACCACCGCCACCGCCACCACCACCTATATCAGAAACTTATACTACGACTACTCGAAAGGATTCTAAGAATAAGAGAATTACTGGGGTGAAAAATAAATCAACAAATTTAGATGACCGTTCGAACTTAATGGCTGCAATTCGAGACGCAGGTGGCATAGAAAGAGCAAAATTGAGGCATACAGTGCCACCAGAGGAGAAAGGAAACCGATGGTCTTCTGCGTCGGTTGGAGGAGATCTAATGGCCGATTTACATGCAAAATTAGCTCTCAGGAGGAAAGGAATTGCAGGTACAGGAGGTAACGCCCTGGAAAGAATGTCAAGCTTAATTCCTCCTCCTCCAAAACCAAATGAAGCATCTACGTGGGATAGGAACTCGGCTACCAGCGAATGTGATTCTCAGCCAGATACTGATGATTGGGATGAGTAATGTACTGTATCATTGGCGATGTACATACTAGAATTATTGATTTATTGAGATCCGTATTCTTTCTTTCATATGTAAACAAACAGTCTTAAGTATCTGACATAAAAGTTTAAAGTTTTATCTGACGAAAAATAAATCTATGAAGTAAATATGAACTATTTTTAGAACACATGACATTGTGTAACAAAAACTTATACTTTCTTCTTTCTTTGTAAAATATTCATGTTACCTATATTTCTTTTACACATACATACTGCGCTTGTTGATTACTTTTATAAAGCCATTTTTGAAGTAAATAAATTATCTGTAAAGTAAATATCTGTTCTTATTTATAAATCTTTGTTTTATCGTTAAACATTGTCAAATATAATTTTCAATGTGAAAATCAATTTAAAAATGAATCAAAATTAGTTTATCATCGATTTTGTTAGCCACTTTTGGTTTTTAACATAATTATAATGGAAGCATGTTGATGTAATTATCGGTTTGGATTTAACACTTGACCCCAGATTACTTGACTAAGTGTTCATGTCCGTTTGTCATGCTTAGTTGGATCGTGGAATTCGTAGTTTTTGCCCAGTCAGTTACTGATGCTTTTTAGTAACAAATTAATCGTTTGAAATTTATCATTTACCGTCAACCTGTTACTTAATTGTAATATGTAACACCATATTCTCTGTTCTTATATAAATAAGCTATCACTCTGCTGAATGGAAAACTTTCTAAGTTGTGGAATATTACAACACCGGTTGTATATCGTATCTGAAGTTTATAATTTGCAATCACTAATATGTGCCACTAAGAAAATCTAGTTTTTGTGAACCTGTGTAAATATCATGTATTTAATTAAGGTAACAATTTCAAAATAGAATACATAAAGGACAATGAAAAAGCATGGAAGATGATTTTTGTGTTATTTTCACTGTGATTAAAGTGCAAATTAATAAACTACTATTTTATAGCAATTAGTATGTGATTAATGTGACCATATTTTATATTTGAACAATACCATTAAACTTAATGAATTTGTTTTGTTTTTTTAGAATAAGTGAGCAGCATAACTGCAAATTGAAATGAATAAACGCAACTGTTATACGAGGTAGTTTCCTTTTTTTTTAACAGAGAATTTACGACTGTAGGATACATTATGAGGAACATGGTAAAAATTTCTACTACAACGGAATTACCCTACTCGAGAACCAATGTTTCAAACAATGTAGAACTTCCAATTGATATGCGCTTCAACGAAGGTCACGTTGTTGGTATTATCATTTATAGCGTGTTAATGATTTTATCTGCTATGGGAAATATTACAGTGTTAGTCTTAATTACGCGTAGGAAGCATACATCTAAATCAAGGATACATACAATGCTGATGCATCTTGCGATTGCAGATTTACTTGTGAGTATTGTGCGGTATAATCGTCCAGTAGGCAGTATAAATACAAGACAAGCAAAGTATAACATTTTTGGTTTACACTACCGTTTATAAGTATCTGGACATTCGACAGTAATAGTACATACATGTTACTAGAATTAGTAAACTAAAGACAAAAGAAAAACTATTATTACCGTAACTTATAAACGAATTATAAATTTAAGTTATTTATTAAAAAGTTTACCACATTTTTGTCTAATCCACAGTAATAGAACCGTTGCGTTTAGTTTGACCCTTACGCACTCGAATCTTATTATTGTATATTATTAAAATACATTTATAAATAAAAATAAATTTTATCATGTCATAACATGTTGTTGCACATTGCTGTAATATGAATAAATAATCAAATTATTGCAGAATTTTTTATACGTCATTTTACATTCGATCAGAAATAAACAAATGTTCGGTTACTCTTGCACGGTAGTCTATAATGCTTATTTGAGTGCAATTCATATTCTATTTGTCTAACTAGAAACTATACATTTTTATTGAATTGGTGCACATGAAATTATTGTTTAAATCGTGAAAGTTCAAAGAAACAAATTTGTACCATTCATTATTCTACAACTATTAACATTGACTTGTACACATGTTTCTCAATGGCTAATAAAATCATTTATGTATTTGCTGTAAACATTGATATTTGTTGATAAAGTAAATTCCTATAATCCGCTTTTTATAACTGTATTATCTTCAAATCTCCCATTTTCAAAAAAGTTATGCAAACTCTAACTAATTAAATGAAAATCTATTAGAGACGGATTTGGTGAATATGGAGAATTTCTGCAAAATAAAGTCTAGTGCGGTAATGCAAGAAGATCACACATTTCCATTTTATTTACGTTGGTTAAATTTTTTCAATATATGTTTTATTCTTCAAGACTGAAAAATCATTACCCTGTGTTACCAATCCAATATGTATATAATTGATTCAGAACAATCTTATCCTACTTGTCTAACGAAGGGCTATTCTACTCGGGTGGTCTGATCACAGACGATCTTATATCATTTGTCTGACCGGTGATGTCTTTGCTTCGGTTGTCTAATTATAATCCTACTCTACTTATTCGGCTAGAAGCGAATCTGCTTTGTATCTGTAAAGAATTTTATTGAATCTTTAATGAAAGAATAAGTTTCCAGGTTACTTTTTTAATGATGCCCCTTGAAATTGGTTGGGCAATCACAGTATCTTGGAAAGCTGGAGATGTAATGTGTCGAATAATGGCTTTCTTCAGAATGTTTGGTCTCTACTTATCATCTTTCGTTTTGGTGTGCATAAGTATAGACAGGTCAGTATAGTCTTTGAATGTAATTTATTACTTATTCCTCTTTAACTCTACACACATGTATACAATATTTTTTACTTGACACCTTGAACTCTAACAGACCTCATTTTTTTGTTACCAAGAATTTATACGTTACGAATCAAGAAGTATTATGTCTGTTAGTTTATATGTATGGATATATATAAATGAAATAGTAGGAAAAATTACAATACCAAAGAAATATATCTATTTTAAGACACATAAAAAAGTTTGTAACTAAAATTTGAGTAAAACGTTTTGTGAAAAATGTATCTTGTGTAAGGCCAGAAAGATCCTGAGGTGCGCTTCCAGTGTTAATATAGTGGAAAATAAAATTACCGTTAAATTAATGAGAATTCAGGTTGATCTGCCACTATAAATATTACTCTATTTCAGATATTATGCTGTAATAAGGCCGCTCCAGCTGTGGGATGTCGATAAAAGAGGAAAAGTTATGCTATGCCTTGCATGGGTAGGATCCATTATATGCTCAATGCCACAGGTACTGTCATTGTAAATATTTATTTCTTAACGAAAGTAACGATTAGAATAAGTTATGGAAGGATATATTGTTCTATTGTGTCGACTAATGTCAGGTAGCTTGGAAGCATTCTTTGAATCTACATGTGCTACATATTATTTTTAGATGGTAGTATTTCATCTGGAAACCCATCCAAATATTTCTTGGTATTCACAGTGTGTCACATTTAACACTTTTCCAACATACACTCACGAAATCACGTATTCCCTCTTTGGAATGGTCATGATGTATTGGTTCCCTCTTGTTGTGATAATATACACTTACACAAGCATTTTGTTGGAAATACGTAGAAGATCGAAAAAAAGTGAACGCGGTATGTTCAAGCTTATTTTGGGTCTTTACTAATACTGGAATGCATAAATGCATGATTGACACGCGTTTCTCTAAATATAAAAACACGCACCAACCGGTATGAAATGATTTTACTTGCTCAGTTGCTGCTATTTCGAATGGAATGGATTTCAGATAAGATTCGTCGCTCTTCAATGGGTTTCCTAACGCGGGCAAAAATAAGGACTTTAAAGATGACTGTAATAATTGTTGCGGTATTTTTCGTTTGCTGGACGCCGTATTATGTCATGAGTCTTTGGTAAGTATTACAGTTTATGGATGTACTCTTAGTTTCCCTCAACATGTCCAACGTTAATACAAATTCAAGATGGATAATAGGTATTGGATCGATAGGCAATCAGCATACACAGTTGATCAACGAATCCAAAAGGGACTCTTCCTATTTGCGTGTACAAATTCTTGCATGAATCCTATTGTTTACGGGATATTCAATATAAGAGACAGAAACAAGGTGAATGTCTTTTGTTCCTCTTTTGTCCAAGAAAACCAAACACATCTGACTATATAATAAGCTGTTGTTTTAGGCATCTGAACGACCAACTACTTTAGAAACTCGAGTCACTCCATTATCGCTGTCACTCAAACTCCTCGACTAACGCAAGAATTTTCAGTGTAGGAGATAGGATAATTAAAAATCCTCGAAGGTAAATTTTACACTCTAAAGTGGTTTTTAGGAAATCCAGGGATTAAGAATTATTACATTAAAGTATTAATAAAATTATTTTTCTACAATAAAAGATGTTAAAAGAATACGATAATTAGTAATATATGAAATGACAAGTACATTGGTCACGGAGATAACTAAAAAGCTAAAAGTTATGACAAATTATTTATGTATTTCGTTTTATTAATACATTGTTTTTGAAAAATCATTTGTTACATGTTTTACATTATACTTAGTAACTGCCTGCCTGAAAGTATCCGTTAAATAATTAAAAAGGATTATAAAACTACGTCAGCAACATGTTTTTTTGATAAGGATCAGTCGAAAATGAAAGCATACATTCCCACGTTGTATTGACAATGTAAAATGCACTCTAAAGACGGATACAAGGTGTAAATCAAATCAATTCTCTTATGCAGTAACAGTCTTAATCTTCTATTCCGAATGTAAGGCGATTTTGCAGCTTCGATTACTCTGCATTGAAATTCAATTAAAAAGAGCAACGTTGAATATTTGGTAGAGCAAAGCAAACTACAGTGAGTAATTTATTCAACATCGCAGGGAAATGTGAACAAAATTTTGAGCACCGTTGAATTTTATATAGTATAAAAAATTCATTAATTTTGTTTCGTATGTGAATGTAAATATTATTTTAAACAATGAGCCATCAACATATTCATAAACCTTAGTTTAACATTTTTAAAACTGTACAGCACCGGTGTTTTGTAATTACTTGTTTGTAATCCTTGCAGCCAGTTCAGACGACACAGTTTTTTGACCGATTCGGTCATTTTGACGAGTCGATAATAAAGCAGCGTTCATAGGATTCTGTATCTTCAATGAAAATCCAACTCTCACGGGTATGCTTATTACCTTTGTTTGTTCTCGTGAATGCTGCTTTTGGGTATTTACTGAATCGATCAAAAAACTGTATCGTTTGAATTGGCTGTTAGGCCGTGGCCACAACAAAACGGTAAGCGATAGAGCGGTAAAGCGAGTGGCGGCAAAGTGGCATAAAATAAAAAAAACGTATAGATTTGTATGAAATAAGCTATACTATGGCACTAGAGAGATAAATATGTTCATCCGGAATTTTGCATCCAGTGGATGGATAAGTCTACAGAGGGTCCAGGTGAAACCTTTCATTGCTTTTTCTCTCCAGAGGACCCAACATGGCGGATGAATATACTCACCTCTATAATGCCTTATCTTGGACACTGTGTAGACTTATCCGTTTACTGGACCCAAAATGGCACATGCGAATACCTTCCTCTCTAGTGTTCTAGCTATACAGCAACTGAGCAACAACGGGGCAGCACCGAGCGGCAGAGAGGGAACGATTTGTAACCGCTTTGCCTCCAGTTATGTTTGTTATTTTAGTAGGTATCCAGTTGGTAAACAATAATGATGACTGCGAAAAATAAGTTTAACATCGAATCTTTAATATCCGAGGTACAATGTAGGCTGATTTTGTGGCAATGTAATCAGAAAAAAATATGATGTAGCAAATGCTTTTACTATATATTATATTTTTAAAGTAAAACTTTCGAAATAATTACTTTTTTTAATAGAGGATCACATGTTTCTATTGATATTAGGAGGCATTAAAAAAATTCGTAGTTGACGGTACAAATGTTGAAATTCGCCCTACAAGGAACGCATCTGATTAATTGGATGAACACCATATTTTCTTTTTTTTTGAGCTTCTAATAATCGGAAAATCGTACACCGGCGTTTAAATAAAAGGGCGCAGTCAGCCAAACCTGCAAAGCCAAATTTTGTCCAATGCGTATTATAAAGTTATAGCTACAAGTTTGATGCAAGATTCGCTATAAACTTGCACGCACATTGGCAGAAACATGGGTAGCAAATGGACAGCAACATATGCAACAAATTGGCTTGCGCAAACCTTGTTCCGGTTTTGCCCTCAATGTGACATAGATCATGTTGCAAGACTTTTTGCCATTTCGTCAGCTGGTATTGCCTGCAAAACCCAAGTCAAATGCAAAAACAGATGGCTATGGGTTTTTTAAACAATTTTTGTTATTTATTGTTGGAAATTTGCTCGAAATTTGTAGACAACTGGTTATCAGGGGGTATATCGTAACGAACGTTACCACGATATGTTACAGACTGAAAAATAACAACTACGACATCACTTCAACACTCATCGGTATGTTTATACACTGCTTAATGTTACCGCTCCAGATGCCAATGTTGACGCTTACCGCTCTGTGTGGTCACAGCCTTACATAGTAAAAATGTATTAAATAGAGTAAAAAAATAGAATCTTAACTATGGTTTGTTACATAAAAGAAAAGTGATTAACACATAGATAAAGTTTTACTTGAAAGTACTCAGTTCGGCGCAAAGCACCTTGTATGAAAATAGCCCTAGTACTTACATTTTCTCACCACTGCGGACGAATTTGACGGAAAGACCACTGTTGATACGTATTGTTAACGTCACATGGCATTAGAGACAGCTGTTGCGTTTGAGGATGAAGCGCCATACACTTCTTGTAAACTCGATGTAGGAGCGTTTTTGTTTTCTACGAAATTATTAATGTTTAGCTCCTTATTCACAACAGACTTCTCCATCCTACTACGCAGGATGATCCACATAACTGGACCAAGTGTCATATATTTTTTCTGGTTGCGGTCAGGAAAAAATGTTAGAAGAAAAATGTCGATCATAAAAATAACGAAAAACCAGTGTACTTCTGTATGCTTACAATATAATGAAGAAACGTTTAAGCTTCTTCTTTAATAAAGACACTTGTTTAAAATCTTTCACATGTAGACGATAGAGCGCGCGGCGGCAGCCATCTTTGTTGTCTGAGTATACTTGGGGAATTGATAAGTTGTCGAGCCCTAGAAAGCTGAACGGCACAGGGGAAAGACTGGTATCTCACAGGTCGATGGTTAGCATTGCAAAACGCTACGTCATTACTATGTCATTACATTCTCGTTACAGTCTCGTGTGTCCCGTTCGCTCTCTTCGTCACCCGCGAATTTGATTCATCAAATCGGCAACAAAGAAGATAGGATTATCTTATCCTCTTTGGTCGGTAACTTATGAGCTCCTAACCAAACGTTATACGAATTTGGAAAAACGGAATCGTCAACGGCCCGGGTAGCTCAGTGGTCGGAGCAGTCGCCCGGAAAAGAAAAGACCTGGGTTCAATTTCTGGCCCGATACCCAATCGGCCAATTTTTTTCCACCAAATTCATATAATGTAAAGTCACAGCCGACTTTACTACCAATGAAGCCAGACGCACGGCTATTGACATATACAGGATGTAACAAAAATGTTGCAGGTCCCTGAACTTGGTCACTCGTGAAGCGATTTGGAACAAGACTTTCCTAAACAAAAATATTATCCGACACTTTGTTAAGGAGATATCAACGAAAAACCCAGACCAATCAGAAAGCGAGTCTGCCCACCGCGTTCCCACGGTAACGTTGGCTACGCGCTGTGGTTCTGCTACGAAGCCACGAACAAGCAAGTCGGCATGCATCGAAGGAAACTGCGTATAATAGCAAATGACAAAGACGTAACAAATAAAATCAAATTTGTTATCATCTTTTGTCATTTAAAATGATTAATGAATAAAGCATAAATGGAGGAAAATCATGTGTAACGTAAAAAACAAATACACAGTTCTTTTGTTAAAAAGAATCGAAATAATAATTATTTGAAGTGAGATGATAAGGAATACGTAAATTTCTTTTTTAAATAATTTATCAACGAAAAGGCCATGTAATAGAAAATAGACGAGAAGTAATCGTAGTTCGTTATTGAAATGTATGTGAATCCGTAAATTAGTAACGAGCAACAATGTTACGGATAATGAATAAGTCTCTTTAAAACACCCGAAGAAAAATTTACATGCGGAAATTTCTAGAATTATGCCGGAAATCAGTCATAGCTTGTGTTAAATTCAAAAAATAATAATCAACAATAAATTGAATAGAACTCACCCTTTCGAAAATTCACCTGTAGCTTGAAAACCTGGGTCACTAGGTCACTATACCAATCCTGGTCATCGACGGACAAAACGGTTTATGGTAATGTAGCGCCTCGGCTCACGCAGATGCTCACCGGACACGGATGCTTCGGTGACTATCTGCATAAGATTGGGGCAGAGGCGACGCCGGAGTGCCGTTTATGCGGGGAGGAGATAGACTCCGCGCAGCACGTGCTGGAGGAGTGCACGTCGTTCACCGGTGAGCGGCGGAACCTCTAGCGCGTCATTGGGTGGGACCTCTCGTTGCGGACCGTGGTGGAAGCCATGGTCTGCGACGAGGGGTCGTGGAATGCCGTCGCCTCCTTCTGTGAGGAGGTGGTTTCACGGAATGAGGCCGAAGAGCGGGATCGGCTCGTGGCATAAGGCGAGCGGAGAGGAGGGCTCGGAGGCGACAGCGTACTGCTGCCTCTGCGGGAGCCCTTCCTCTCCCGGCATCGGTACAGGTGGCCCCAGGGCCCCATAACACGTACGTCCCCCCTCCGTGCTCTTCAAGCACCCCAACGGGCTAGATGAACGAGTGATCCATCGTGCTACCCGCGGGGCGACAGAACTGGGGGTATCGCTCTTGTCGCGGCCAGTTCAAAAAAGGAGGCCTAGGGGCGGTGAAGAACCGTCCCTAGGGGGGGGGAGGGGTTGTCCCCCTCGTTACGAGGTGTGTTCCTCCTCCTTCTGGGGAGGAGCATGGGCGGGGCCGCTCGTGGAAGTTCTACATGTACCCGCGGTTGGTCTGTCGTCCGAGAGGGTCACCGAGAAGTTTTAGTGGGTAAAAATCCTACATGGGCCGTCTTCGCACTCTCAGCGCCTTTTGAAGGTTTTTATTCGAAAAAAAAAAAAAAAAAAAAACAAGTAACGCCTATGTGCTAGAAACGCTAAGACATGCACGTGATGCAGCGATACGAAGATTGCAAATTTGCATTGACGCAAACGGTCACCACTTCGAGCATCTCCTGTAACGTAAGAAAGTTTATTTTTCTACCATATTTGACCTTGCATAACCTTCAATAATAGCTCGGTGAAGTCGTCTCAACTCCGGCTATCACATCGCGATAAAAAAAACGTAACATACTATTAAAAAAAATAGAGTTGACCTTGAAATCTCCCCTATGCCTTCACCCACGCAGAAAATGTTTGTGTCACAATATGCCCCCCTCTATACCGTGTAAATTTTGTCTGTAACATTTTTTCACATTATTACAAATAACGGCAATATTCAAAGTGGACATAGTTATTGCCCCACCCTGTATATAATATACAGTGTCTCAAAAATGTCTCTCTTCGCGAAAATGAGGGGTTGCTGGGATGATTTGAAACCACTTTTTCCTTAGCGAAAATGTTATCTGCGGCTTTGTTAACGAGATATTAACGAAAAACCCCGACCAATCAGAGCGCGCGTTTGCCAGCCGAGTTCCCGGGCTAGCGGTGGCTACGCGCTACGCTTGTACTATGAAGCTCCGAACAAGCAAGTCGGCATGCATCCCAGGAAACCGCGTATAATGGCAAATAACGAAAACATAACAAATCGAACTTTTTATCATCTTTCGTTTGTCATTTAAAGTGATGAATGAATGAAACCTAAATGTAAGAAAATCATTTTTAACGTAAAAAGACAAATACACAATTATTTTTTTAAACAAAATCTTTAATAAGCCCGAAGAAAGACGTAGGTGCGGAAACTTGCAGAATTATTGCCGGGAACAAGTCATATGTAGTTTACGTTAAATTAAAAAAATAATAATCAACAATACATTGAATACAACTCACTCTTCCGGAAATTCACCTGCAGCTTGCAGACCTGTATCAGTAGGTCACTGTACCGATCCTGGTCATTTACGACAGAAACGGTTTATGGCAGGGAATCGCCCAGTCCACAGGTGATCGTAGGTATACCTCACCAACTTGTAACGTCAAGTGCGTCCGGGTTATTGCACTGAGTACGTATTCACTTTACTGCACGACCACTAAAACTTATCAGCCGACACGATCACTTAATGTATTTTTAATCAAACGTGTTGTTCCTACGTTAGGAAAATTGGTGGCCCCGAAACAAACCGATTGTTTCCAATTTATCACATGTTTTACGTAGCCAAACGCTTGCACAGCAGCAGCCGCATATCCGTTATTCTGTGCGTACCACCAGAACATTGCGTAATACTCCCGTGAACTGAACATCTCTGTCGCCCAAGTGCTAACCGACTGACGAAATTTTTCCGAAAGGGCTTCCACTACCCCCAAGTAGTTTCTCACCGTTACATTGTGAGTTCACTCCCACCGTGGCAACAATATTTAGGCAAAAAGAAACCCACGTTCTAGGAAAACACGTGCTTTGTAGAAGTGCAACGAACGAACTGTCGCGTCGTGCAGTTTCACTGAAGCGGGGGCTCCGTTAATTTATTGCCAGGATGCCAATTGCTTCGAGATATAAAGCAGAAACTACGTTTTCCTGGAGGAGCAGGACAAGAAATTTCACGGACATATGTTAAGTTGACGCTGCTTGGCCCTGTCTGAGCACCTTAGCAGAGGCCGGAGCGGACGTTTAGCTACAAGACGCAGGGAACTGTTATATCTGCAGACCGAATTTCAACCATTTGAGGAATCAACCAGCATCGCATACCGTAACAGAAATATTTAGAAATCGTAAAAATGCACTATCTGTTTAATAATACGCGTTGAAGTACAATCCAAGTACTCCATCTTATACAAAATACGAGGAAATCACTCCAGATTATTTCAATGAGGTGAAAAACAATATTGATAGGTAATCATAAAACTAAATCATCATCAAATAACATATAAATATAAAAAACAAAAAATGTATAAAATGACCGTAATAGCGGAGCGCCAGGTTCTTTTACCATCTAGGGCTGTTTTTACCTCTTCAACGTGGATGAGAACAGTAAAAAGAAATACGTATCAAATATTTTTATAAGAATTACAATCTCACAGAGTTGTATAAAAATCCGCGATTGTCAATTCGGGATGTTTCCTTGTGAATCCACGTCTGCTACGAGGTCGAAGCAATTAGGCCGTAAATAACCGAAATGTCCGTTCCAGTGTCTGCTAAGGTGCTCGGAAAGGGCCAAGTAGCGTCAACTCAACATGTGTCGGTGAAATTTGTTCTGCTGCTCCTCAAGGAAAACGTAGTTGCTGTTTTTCATCTCGAAGCAATAAGTATGTCCGTGGTCTTCTTCTTTTCGGACCATTTCAAGCCGATACACGTGATATCTGTTTTCTATCTCGAAGAAATGGGTATCCTGGCAGTAAATTAACGGAGCCCGCGCTTCGTTGAAACTGCACAACGGTTCCTTCGTTGCACTTCTGCAAAGCACGTGTTTTCTTAGAACGCTGGTTTCTTCCTACCTAAATATTGTTGCCGTGGTGAAAGTGAACTCACAATGTTACGATGGGAAACTACTTGGGGGTAGAGGAAGCTCCTTCGAAAAATTCCTGTCAGTAGGTTAACAACCGGGCTACAGAGATGTTCAGTTCACGGGAGTAGTACGCAATGCCCTGGTGGTACACACAGAATAACGGATATGCGGATGCTGCTGTGCAAGTGTTTGGCTACGTGAGACATCTGATAAGTTGAAAACAATCGATCCCTTTCAGGGCCACCACTTTTCGTAACGTAGATACACGGTCGATTGAAAATACATTAAGTAATCATGTCGGGTGATCAATGTTAGTGGTCGTGCAGTGACGTGAATACATATTCGATGGAATAACCCGGACGTACTTGACGTTACAACTCTTTGGCTGGTGCCGTATATCTGGGATCACTTGAGGACTGAGCGCTACCCTGTTCTATTCAATTTATTGGTGATTATTATTTTCTTAATTTAACGCAAACTATGTCTTTTTTCCGGCAATAATTCCGCAAGTTTCCGTAGGTACGAGATTTTATGGGACAGGCGGTGCGTGAAGACGTTTCTCCCAGTCGCCTGGGTTTTTGGTAGCAGCCGCTAGGTAGCGAGTTCTCTCGCAAACGGTAATTAGAGCCTTTGGCTATTTAAGGGGCTCCGCCGAGGAGCAACCCAGGCCTTTGGGGTACGGGTGGTCTACCGTCAGCCCCACTGACGAGTCTTGGTAGACGATTCCCAAGACGAAACGCCGTGTTGTTGAGCCGCCTAGACGTACGTAACTTTTTCTTCCAGCTTCTTAAAGAGAATTATTCATTATCAGTATTATTGTTACCCGTTACTGAACTACGGATTTTGATGTCAATAACGAACTATGATCACTTCTCGTTCATTTTCTGGTACATCACCTTTTCGTTAATGCGATATTTGAAAACGAAATTTACAAGTTCCTTAGCCACTCTCATCAAATAATTATTATTTTCCATTCTGTTTTAAAATATAACTGTGCATTCGTTTTTTACGTTACACATGATTTTCCTACATTTACGTTTCATTCATTAATCTCTTTAAATGACAAACGAAGGATGATAAAAAGTTCTATTTTATTTGTTACGTCTTTTTTATTTGCTATAATACGCAGTTTCCTGCGATGCATACCGACTTGCTTGTTCGAAGCTTCGTAGTACAAGCGCAGCGCGTAGCCAACGCTACCGCGGTAGCTCCGCCAGCAGCCTCGCGCTTTGATTGATCGGAGTTTTTCGTTAGTATCCCGTTAACGAAGCCTTAGATAACATATGTGCTAAGGAAAAACTTGTTTCAAATCACCTCACGAGTCTCCTATTTCAGGGTCCTCCAACGTTTTTGTTACACCCTAGAAAAAAATCTAGGGGTGTCAAGTCTGGTGAACGAGCTGATCACGATATTGGACCGCCGCGTCCAATCCAACGATTTTGAAATATTTAATCGACTTTCCTTCCCGCAATCAATGAATAATGTGCTGGGCATCCATCATGTTGATACCACAGGGTTTGTCGTGTAAATAAAGGCAATTCGTCTAACAAAGGACCCAATGTATCCTTTACCCAATTAGCGTAGATGTTGCCATTCAAATTTCCATTGATAAAATGAGGCCATAAATTATATCACCTGTGATACCGCACCATACGTTCACAGACCACTGTCTCTGTTGTTCAACCTGATGCAGTCAATGTGTATTTCCCGCTGCCCATAAAGGCATGTCATGCAAATTAACATTCCTATGAGTTATGAATGTTGCCTCATCAGTAAAAAAGACGGTATTAAGAAATAACTCATTGTTTTGGTTCTGATGTTTAGCCCATCGACAAAATTAAACGCGATTTATGAAGTCGTTCCCTTGCAACTGTTGGTGAAAACTAACATGGTACGGATGAAATTTGTGCCGGTGCAAAATGCACAGTACGCTCCTCCTACTAATGCCAGATTCGCGTTCAATTTGTCGCAAACTAATAGGAGGATTTGTAGCCACACTTGCGAACACACTAATTTCATTTTCTTCGTTCGTTACTCGCTGTCGGCATTCACTTTTACGAACACTTAAACTACCCGTTTGCCTAAGTTTATTACACACATTTTTAAATGTTCGACGGGAAGGCTGTGACCGATGTCGACATCGTTCAGCATACAAGTTTTTTGTCCTTACAGACTGTTGGCATTCGCCATAAATGAGTAGCATATCGACTTGTTCATCTTATTCTGCAAACTTATTGAAGTGTCCTTCAAACAGTGTTTATTTTCAGTGAAGTAAACCGTAAGCAATATCGCTTTTCTCTATTTTCTATGGCCTTCAATGAGCTTATGTAATAGGTTGTTGAACTCGTTTTAAGCTCCTCTATCATTTTACGGAAACTAACGCATACTGATCTATTTTTTGAAAAAATGGAGGTGACCTTGAAATATCCAAAGTACGTCCACTTGCAAAGAAACTCTTTGCGCCATGTCTCTCTCTGTACTATGCAATTTTGGTTCAACAAATGTTTCTGTGAACCTTATAGTTTCGAAGATATCTCAGATAATACTTGTTGCTCCACCCTGTATACAAATCAGTGGCTCTGGCCTACACACAATCTACTTATTTTTCGACCATTTAACTTAATACTTTCCTACATAGAACGACAAGAAGAATCGATCTATATAAAAAAAATATATGTTTATTTTGTTATAGGGAAATAGATTGCTTTAACTTTAACCTTTATCCTCTGAAATATTTTTCTAATTGCAACAGCACAAGAAATATAACTTGGACCATTTCCGTGGACCATTCTGTAAAATATACAAAAATACACTTCGTACTCACTTCGTCATACTGCCATGGACCGTCCACAGTTCCTAGCCGACAAAATACAAATTTTACTCCTTGTCCGTCTGCTGATACACATCGTTCTCCTATTCCTAATTGACCTTTTGTATTTAATCTAATTAACTAGAACATATTGTTCCATCAGTCGTCATTCATAAATAAAACGATTCATTAAATGATAATTTTCGATTACCTGATTATTACCAAATCCATGACAATGAGACGTAGCCATTAAACTGGGAGGTGCATGGCCCATTGTGTCCAAACACGTGTCAGTTGCTACATTTCGTAACTAAAATTTAAAGAAATGAAATAAGTGCACAAAACATAGATAAACACGTGTACATATAAGTGTGTGAATCGCAAGAGATGCAACACCAAAATATCTTTATTATATTTGAAAGTGGAAGAAAATGTCAAAAAAAAAAACAATTATACTAACGAAGGAGTCAAATTTAATAGTAGTGATGTAAACAGATTTTCCGTTAACCATTTGCCTTATAATTTATTTCGTAACAGCGAGTGTCATATTCGGTGATTGTTTCGCTCACACACTTGAACCAATATCAGTCAAGTTTTACGCTTGGAAAAGAAAAACAACGAACTGGAGATGTGCTTCTTATGTTTGGTCCGGTAAATCCATCACGAGCCTGACACGTCTTTCTTATGTTTGGTTAGTAAAACCTATCATGAGTCTCACACTATATTATAAGGCAAGTGGTTAGTATCATTATAAAAACAATATTGTGGAACGTATCTTATGCATAAATCAAGGACGGAGTACATGAAATGTTTATAATTTAACGGTACCTCTCCCCAATGAATATTTGGTGGCAATTCAGGAAATTTATCAAATACATCATAAGCCACATTCTCCATGAACCAATTAAAACTTTTACACTTTTTTCGTTTCTTAAAAGCCAGTTGCTCAGATATGTCTCCATGGTCAAGCAATTTTGCAAGGGGTTCACGTGTATAGAAGAATTCTTTATATTTATCATCGAACCACGTCTCAATAACCCTTTTATAGTTCTATAGAGAAATTTAACAATAAATGCAGTTGCTTTCTGTCTTTCAGAAATACTTGTTTCAACAATACAGTGTTACTTACTATAGTTACGAGTGGTCCTTTCTTTTTCTGAGCCAATTTTCCAAATGTGTACGGCATAAATCCTCTATATACATGACCGACATGGGAACACGGTACCCAAAGAATACTACCTCCGCACTGCCATATCTTGAATGACAGTTCGAAGTTCTCTCCTCCCCACACAAGTAATCCCTCATCGTATCCACCCAATGACAAGAAGTATTCACGATTTATTGCGAATAAACCACCAGCATGAGTAGGAGACCTAAATTAAGCATTGCCAAGTACTTGTCAAATATTGTATTACCAGTCTAAGAATATCTTCCTTTTAATGTAAATTACTTATAAGGCATGCTGCTGTGAGGTCGTGACTTTTGCTCCCGCGAAGGAAGTTCGTTTTCCTTGTACAGCATTCCCCATTCAAAAATCCCTCTGTATAAGTGTCCTTCTTGATACACAGGTCGATATTCGAATGTTTTATGATCAATACCATCTATTATGGGAACTGTCATCACAGACCTAAAAATGTTCAAAATATAATAAAGAAAAATTATCACTTTTTGCAAACATTATCAGCCGTGATGCGCTCAAGTACTTCTCAAGTACGTTTAAACATTGATTAACTAAATTCGAGCCGCCCATAACTATTTCGAAAAAAAGGAGTACTTTGAAGTAAACTCGGAACCTAAACGGGACAGATTTGAACGCTGTATTGTAAGGAATATACGCGTTCCGCGTCGGACTGACGGTTACAGGAATCGCGCGTATCGCGATCGGATCAGGTGTCACCAAAGAGCGAGTCGAGGCGTGACTTTGTCGAGCCGCCAGCTTCGACGAATCTTGCGTTTCAGCGTCGATTAAAGACCGATGCCGCCCTAAACGCAATAGTCGATACCTAGTCACCCGGCGAATTCGGCGGCAGTATGTATGCATGTGTGTATGTGTGTGCTGTGTGAACATGGATATAAAGAATGAATGCGAGGACACGAGGCAGTCAGTCTCGACCCGTCGAACACAAGAGAATAAACGACTTCAATATTTAAGACGTGTCCGATTCTTTCCCCCATTCGACATCCTACAATATGAATACTTTGGAAAACGAAATTAGTACGTCCAAGTATTCAATTAGCGAAACCTGCAAAGCCAAATTCTGTCCAATGCCTGTTATAAAGTTATGGCTACAAGTTTGATGCAAGATTTGTTATAAATAACTTGCGCACACATTGGCAGCAACATATGCAGCAAGTTGGCTTGCGCAAACCTTGTTCCGGTTTTGGTCTCAATTTGTCATAGGTCATGTTGCAAGACTTTCTGCCAATTTGCTTTAACATTTTGTCAGATGGCGTTGTCTGCAAAACCCAAGTCAAATACGGAAACAGATGGCTATGGTTTTTTAGACAACTTTTGTCATTTATTGCTGGCAATTTATTCGATACTTGTACACAACTGGTTATCAGGGTAAAATCAAACACTGGTTGAGTAGGTTTTAAACTTTAAGCACTAATGTTACATCCGCAAATATATCTAATATTATGCAGATATATGTAAGTTAAGAAGCCAATGTTTTATTTTGATCACTTTTCGGTATTGAAATTCTAATTACAGATGCAAATCCACTAGCTCATCCGCTGCAGTGATAGAAATAGAGAATTACTAAACATCAAAATATTTAAATTGTAAAGAAGATCCTGTACTATTTTCGTCCTCAAATATCCTCCCTATAAACAATTTGTGCGCAAATTGGCAGCAAATATTGACGAAATCTGTCTACAAATCCATAGACATCTGTTTCCGCATTTGACATGGGTTTTGCAGACAGAGCCTGCTGGCAGCATCGTCAAGAAAATTGTTTATAGCAGACCCTGCAGAAAATCTGTAGCCATTCTGGTTACAAAAGCTTATAACAGGCATCGGACAAAATCTGGCTGTGCAGTTTGGACTTATTGTGATATTTTATTGAGAATTGCACGTGAATATTTTTGTATAATGGCAACATCTCAACCCTTAGAAAGAGTATTTTCGAAAATAAGGAATATTATAAGCAAAAAAAAGATAGACTAAAAATAAATATTGTAAACCAACTATTATTTTTAAACAGCAACTGCAGAAGCTTCTTCAGAAAAATTTTCCTAAACTTGTAGGAATTCAGTGAAATTGGTAATGCCTTTTTTTACTCTCATGATGCAAATACTACTTGCAAGAGGTGTTATTCGTTCTAATATTGAAGTACTTAGAAATAGAGTTTCAAAACTTACAGATACTTATTCTGAAATTCGAAACCAGTTCATATAAATCGAATACATCGCAAGCATAACAAATGAATCATTATTTCTTATGATTAGTATTAGAACTTGATGCAGTAAAACTTGGGTATTGGAATTGATTCGGATTTATAAGTAAATGTTAGAAAAATGTCTGAAACGAACGATCTCCCCGAGGGTTCTGGGGTAAGTTCAGTGTCTCTTGACACAGTCCTTTTGCTAGAGCGTCGAGGCTTTTGCCGTCATACAACACCCGGACGTCGAGGCCGCGAGGAATCAATAAAGTATTGCCACTCGAGCCGCCACCAAACCTAAACACCGATGATATGTTTAAGGCTCCGGTTATTGGCGATAAAATCTCCTTTCAAGTAGCCGGCGCCATGTACATCTTGTTTCATAAAAGAATTGACGCCAGCACAGCCAATCTGACCTGCTTCACGTTCTCGGGAACCATTAAGATATTGAAACATTTCCAAAAATCCCAACACATAAATAATACACATCTACAATAGTCTTTTGATAATAGATACAACACATCCCCATAAGCAACTTTTTGCTAGTAGACGCAACACGTCCCAATAGCTAATCTTTTGAGATAGTCAATAATCGAGCCTACAGCACAACTGGTGCTCCCAAGTGCACAAATAACATTTATCATTCTTACTTTACTCAAGCTCGTGCCGACGCACAGACACCACCCCCTCTCAACATAATCACGGTTTACCGAGTCCGTGATTGCCCTACTAAACACCGATGATATGTTTAAAGGTCCAGATATTAGCGATACAATCTCCTCCCAAGAAGCCGACGCAACATAAAAGGTGCATCTCCTTTCATAAAAGAATTAACATGCATATTCAACTTGATCTCATCAGTAACCTGTAATGAGTGAAGTAATTACCTATCGACAGCGATTGGGGCTAAAAGAGGTGGCAACCAGTTAACATTAACTTCGCAGTGAGCATCTAAGAAGACTATAACTTCGCCCTTGGCTTCTCGTGCACCGCGTGATCTGGTTCTTATTAAGCCTTGCCTTTCATAATTTCTTATTAATTTCACTTTGCCTCCCCACTGTTCTATGTATGTTTCCAGATTCCCTTTCAAATTATCTGCGAAAAATGACTATTTATCGACAACGTCCTTGTTTCATCGAATATATGATTCGTTTACCTTTATTGGAGAAGTCATCAACAAGTAAAATTTCCTCTAGAAATTGTGGAGGAGTACGATTTATTACACTATAGACAGTCCTCATTAATACTGACCAACCTTCGTTATGAAATACTATGATTACACTGGTTCGAGGAAGTATCTCTGGATAGTTCCAATGTTTGCATCTGTTAATTAGATACATAATTTTTATACATATTTAGTATACTTGTGAAGATTTTTTTGATAACTTTAAAATAAGGGTTTCCAAATTATGGCCTGCGAGAAGATTTTATTCAGTCTGTTTATACATAATCTCTGTGTCTGTATTCTATGTATATTAAGATTGAGTAAAATGTAAGTCCCGGCGCACACAAGTGGCACGCGTCATTTTGCATTCGCGACGATTTAACGCCGCGTTCTAGCAGTACATTCATTTATATGTATGAAGCGATTCACACGTCACACAGGTTTCGGCGTCAACTTCGCCACTAGATTGCGTTTTCTGAAATAAACGGAGGTATTGCAAATCGCAAATGTGATGCTAATATCTCAGGGGATAGTCGATTATTTTTCTCGAGCAATTCATTTATCCAGTATACGTCATTTATTGTACGAACAAGCATTATTGCCGCAACATCAAAACGAAAACGACTTTTAGAAAACATGATAATTAAACTTATAACAACACCTGACACATCACAAAAACGAATGAAGATTCATTATTTTTACAATCACTACTTCCAATTATAAAGACTTTAAATACAGATCAGAAAATACAATTTAAAATAGAAGTTTTAAATGTTATCCAACAAAAAATAGAAAAAGTATTTAAGTTTAATATTTTACTTCTTTATTTTTTCTTTTCATTCGTGTTTTATATATCTTGATAGGTTTTTTGTTTATTATTATTAATTCCTTCATTTATTATAAGTTTATTAACGTTCTATTATTTAACAAACATTTTTATTCATTTTTATATATAGTTCATCAAACGATTTCACACTCATTCTAAAGTAGTTACAAAACTGGTACAAACTACTAAATGCTCCTTTAAGTAATCAAAAAGGTTACTAAAATCAGGTAATTACTAATTGTTAAGATTATTTGACCGCTCGTATGTTGCAGCTGCAAAATTGACACAAACAAGACGCAAACAAGACCCAAACAAGACACAAAATAGACGCAAACAAGACGCAAACAAGACACAAAATAGACGCAAACAAGACGTAAAATTGCCGCCGAAACCTGCGTCACGTGTGAATTGCATCATAGAAATAAATGTAGTGCCAGAACGCGACGTCAAATCGACACGACTGCAAAATAACGCCTGGGCCTAAGAAAGTATATCAAATCTTGCTCGAAGAATATAATATTGTTAAAATTTATAGTGAAATTAAATGTGTCAAATCAAAAGTTCAGTAACCCATAACAAAATTTACAGGATTTTTTTGGATATGGCAGCATCAAACATTAAACGTACTATTACAAACATTAGAAAGTCCAAGCAAATGCAAACATTACATTAATCTCTTTTTTTAAAGATAATGTGATAGGCATATAAAGTTTGTTCATTGAAACATAACAGTAATCAATAATAATTTCATTCATGTTTTACTCTTTGCTTACTGCATATTATGTGCTATGAGCTTTAAAATCACATTTAATACAGAACACAAACATCTTATTTTAGTTCCATTTTTTGTTTAAAATAAGGATTTGGTAGAATATTTTTTGTATGACCCAACAAGCTTTTGGACTTCTGCCAAAACCCCTGTTTTAAAGAAAAGGAAAGCAAAATTTAATAGGATAAACTTACTCAGACATTCTTGTATCAGGAATAGATCTGTCTAATGAAATTTCATCAGAACATACCATATTCATGCCATATTCAGACTCCGATTGCTGAATATCATTTTGTTGATCATCTCTCAGGATATGAGGTTTACCTTCTTCTCCAGGTCCAGTCTTAATTGGTACATTTTGTGGTTCAAAGTTTCCTAGATTTTGTAGGAAAACTGGAACCTACAACATAGCATTAAAGGTAAAATGCATTCTGCATATACAAAGATAAACACATTTCTAATGTACCTGTTTGCTCTTTAGACTCTCTGACCAATATTCTCTTAAATTATTAATTGGTTTATCAGAAATAACACTGATAAGAAAATATAATATAAAAAGAATTAATATGTTGCAAATAATAATACTAAGAAGTCGATTTCTTTTTAGCTGCACAATTCTCATCTTGGTCACTATAACTGTATCTGAAAATACAAATTGACAGATGTATATACATAAAAGAAACATTTATATGACTGTATGAAGAACAGATGATTTCTGTTTCTGTGAACAAAGAAACAACTGTTCATGTATTAAGGATATTTAAATACAAGATTAAACTTACTTATGATCAGAGGTGGTTAAGTATTTTACACCATGTCGTAAATGCGTTACGAGACGTCGTATATGTACGTATAATATGTCGTTTTTATATGTGTCATTTCTCGCAAATGTCGTAAATAGAATTATTAATTATTTCAACGTTTAAACAATTAAAGTAGAAAGTTTTTTAAAAATAAGTAAAACCAATACATATCTTCTTTTCGTATGTAATATTAAAAATATAATATTGTATATAAGTGTACATAATAGTAAACACGAAATATAACCTCAAATTAACTTTTATTATTATATAAATTGTACATACATATGTACACCGGTCAACAAAATTTAACTTTTTGTTTCTCTTCGAACATCTATTTGCTGGTTCTTATAGATACTTCTGTGCTGAATACGAATCCGTAAATAGTTTTTTGTCATCACCCTCAGTTTCCGAGGATTCGATTTAAAAAAAATGCAAATTTTCAAGTTTGAACATTTCCTGTGTTCAAACATTAATAGTTATTCAGTTGATTGTTACGCCAAATTATTCTGTAAACTCTCCTGAATGAAACGGTATACGTTGTTATCGTATTATCAACATTTAAACATGTTTAAACAACGATCAAAGAGAGAACGACATCCGAAATGCACCAATTTTTATAGATATTTTTCAATTTATTTCATAAAGTAAGTGTGCAGAACATAATCTGACTGCGTCATCAGATATAGTAAACATTTTTCTTTCAGAAAGCATTAACAGAAATGGTAAGACACGTTTTGTATTCAATACAGCAGCGCAATCATAGATATAGCGAAATAGTTTAGTAAAACTTGCAACGCTGGCAGTGGTACTCAAAGGCGGCAGTCGAACGCATGCCGTCTTTGAGTACCACTGTCAGCGTCGCAGATGTTAGTAAATTATTTTGCTTCTGTATTGAACACAAAACATCTTATCATGTTTAAATGTTGATAATGCGATAACAACGTATACCATGTTATTCAGGAGAGTTTACAGAATTTGACGCAACAATCAACTGAATAACTATTAATATTTGAACACAGAAAATGTTCAAAGTTGAAAATTTGCATATTTTTTCAAAATCAAATTTCTTGGAAATTAAGGGTGATAATAAAAAATTGTTTTAGATTCGTATTCAGCACAAAAAAATCTATAAGAATCAGTATAATCGTTCTTTGGGACAAAAGTCATGTTGACCAGTGTTATTTGTGATTACCAAAAAATAGGTGGTAGAAAAGAGCATGATCAATATGAAACTTTGAGGTTCAGTAGAAGAAAGAATGAAAAAGGCAAAAATGTAGCATTTTGCAGTGTGCAACTGTAATTGTATTGGAAATACAACTGAGAATAGATTAGAACCACATAAATGAGTGCAATAAGAAAAATGAAAATTTTTCAATCAAGTAAATAAATATGTTTATGATAAGATTAATAACAATACATCTTATGTAAGTATGGTACGTTGCAGTACCATGTGCATATATAGATGAGACTGAAAATGTTTATGAGAAGAATATTAATATCAATAAATGTAAAGAAATATAAGAAAATGTTTATGAAAAGAATATGAGTATCAATAAATGTAAAGCTATCGGTAGTAATGAAATTAATTATTTTACAACTTCACTCAGAACCGTTGTAGTTTCTCATATTGTACTAAAGTTCAAAGACTCTAGAAAAGGTTTCTAACCACTTGTAAGATGTAACATTGACCATGGCCACAACAGTTTTACTATTAACTGTTGAATTTTTTCAACCATCAATTAACTCCATCTTCTTCATCTTACCTTGTAGAATTATCAAAGCTCATCATACTGTGCATCTAAAATTGTTGCCAGTGCCTTCCTTGTAGCAGGCTAATATTGATCATCCAGTACATTAATAAATACTTTAAAATGTTCTAAATCAATTAGGCTAAAAGGGATATTATATAAAAAAAATTTCAAGTAACTGATCAATCTTACTTCGTCCTAAATAAAAATAAACTTTTTATTAACATAATTTTCGATCTAAACAAATTATATTTATTATTCTGAAACAATTTTTCGGAACCTTTTACATCCATTTTTCATCAATGTAACCGAATTTAATTTAATTGTTCTTAATCAGAATTTTAATTGTTAATATGTTGACACTTCTTTATAATCTATAATCTATACGCAAACGTTTTATAGGTTAGAAACACGTTATAGATATGTTCATTCCAGATATACGACATTTACGGCATTTAAGACACGTGTCACGTATAAAATAAAAAATTCGAGTATTTACCCACCTCTGCTTATGATTGTGTAACAGAATTAAATGAATGATGCTGTAATTTGTTTTACACATTATAAACCATACATAATAAGTTCCTTAAATCTTGATGTCTACATGATTCTTTTAAAATTCGAATTCTTATGAAAATATTGTAAATTACGAAAAGTAATTTAATAACTTATTAAAGTACTAATTATTACCTTATGTAAAAATGCATAGGATGTACGAGAAAAACTAAATTACCAGATAATAATCTTCCGAACGTATTAAAAGAATATTGAAAACTATATTGCAATAAACTTAATCATTTCAAAAACTCCGTTGCTTCCACGGATTACTATGGATCTGCCACTCTTAAGAAAAAGGGTGGTCAGAGATAAGCTTCAGGTCCACATCACATGCGGCGCTTGGCGACAGAAACGCAGAAACGCGCACAGTCTAATAGCTGTACATGCCTATGGTTATGTTGCGTGGCCGTTTTATAAAGATTTGTAATTGAGAATTTAGGCAGGGTTCGGGTCCCCGT